CTTTCCTTTCTCTTTAACAAATTGCGGATTATCTGTCACAATATATATAAATCCGTGGAAGAGTATAAGTAATCATCGCTACATTATGTCATAAATACATAATAACATCCACAAGAAACTGAAACTAGACCTAGAATAGATAATTTCAAGTACCAGGGAACTTATACTACACAAACTAAAAAGTTTCTAACATACTATGGCATTAAGTTTCTAAAGTTATGACAATAAGATAACTTACCTTGAGGAATTCTTGATTCATTCTGTTTTCCTTCGAGTGTCTCTTTCGAATTTGTTTCTTCTTTGCCATCACCACTTTGTGTATCACCTTTTCATCATCAGATAAATCAAAAGGTGAGATATGAAATTCGTAAAACAAGTTGGTAGAGTGATAAAAGAAGAATCTATGAAAGATGGACTTAATACCTTGGATAATTTCTGATTCATCACAATCTCGAGCAGAAAAACACTTTTCTTCAAGCTTTTCTTTGGTTTCTGGTTGAGAAATTGCAAAGCCATCGATATCTTGTGGCTTGTTGAGAAGCTTGATAGATTTGCGTCTAACATAGAACTTAAGAGACTGTTTAGGCTTAACCGGTGTTACCGGAACAACCATGGCATGATTGTTGTCTGAATCGTTTGGATCTTCCACTGTTATCTCTTCCATCTTTTTGCTTTTTTTTTTTGTTTCACACCTACACAACATATAACATTGATCAAACTAACATAGACCAAATTATGTAAAAAAAAGCTTATTTCAATAGCTTCACATTGAGAAAATAACAACACCCACTATGAAAAGACTCCAAAAACCGAATTCAAAAAAGCATTTTTTCATCAAAACCACACAAAAAAAAAAACAAAACTTTAAAAGTAATTCGCGATAATTTGAGGGAAAATCCCAGTGTGATGATATATAAAAGAAGAAAACAGAGAATCCCAGTGACTAAATTAAGTCGAGAAACTAAGAGTGATGATATAGCAAAAGAGGAGACTCACCAGAAGAAGAAGAAGCTCGGCGAAGAACACAAAGGGGTTTTGGGAAAATAATTGAACAAAAAACGAAGAGGTTTAGTGGGACGTGCCCTTGGCTCACCACTTTTCCATTTTTAATTTATTTTATAAGAATTGTTTTTTTTTTTCTTCCAAAAAAGATAAGAATTTGAGATATCAAATCTTTTTTAGCACGAGAGAATCTTAACAAAACTCGAGATTATTTATTGGGCGTTTTAATTAAGTTACGAAGCAGTGTTTTGTAATACTAGACTACTAGTAT